TTCCCCCCCCCTCTTCTTCAAAATGAAAGACTTCAAACATGCAAACATAGCTGTAAGAAGCCATGAGCATATTTTCTTTTGGCTTAATGTGCAAGGTCTCTTTTTTTCCATTATTGAAAATTACCAGCCATTACGAATCCCCAGCAAAATCATCCAGTTATCAAGGCATCATGTACATATTACATTTTAACAATATCTAGACATTTCTCACAATCACTTTGCCACAGTTGCATTAATTATGTGCAAGTTAACTCTTCCTAATTTTATATTCTTATTCCTCCAAATTGTAGCTAAATTTGAATGCATGTGTATATCTAGTTACAATTATTATTTCACACTGACCCTGGGTGTGTGTACATCTCAGTGCCTTATTGGTGAGCTAGTACACATATCAAACAGTGAACTGTACACCCATAGACAGGTAAATCCTCTGTAGTTTAGGGTTAAAGCAGGAGAGGCTTACTAACCTCTTATCGGTAAAGGGAGATGGAAAAAGGCATACATTTGGAAAATAATAACGGTAAACACAGACCTCCTGAGGTTACTACAAACAAATATTCAAGTAGAGAAGCTACATTATAGCAGTGGCTATGTCGTTAAGACAGCACACAAACTGCGATTGTTTTATGTATTTTTTTCATACTTTCTTGGGGCGGTTTGCTGGACACAAATTAAGCTTAGCACTAGGTTTAAAATGTGTCTGGGAAACGGGCCCTATATATTTTGTTTTCATTTTTAATTCAGTGTGATAAATCGCAGTAGGACAGAACCTATCAAGCCATGCTTCTTCCAATTTTTGACATACCAAACTGCTGGAATGTGACAAAGACAATAATTTCAACTTCAGGACAACAGACGTGGCACAAAAACAACAACTACAGAAACAAGCGCCTCCATATATCCCATTATGTCTTATTTGTGCTACTTGATATTAGCCTGGTGAAGAAAAAAACAAAGGATCAATTCAGTTTGGAGCCAGGCTAACGTGACATACCCCATAATGTTGTTACAAGTGTTCAAATGTCTAATTAAGTACAGGTTAGCAATGTTCAAAACACACATTCACATTTTTTTCAATAATAAACACACAGTATAATAAAGATTCAAGGAGACTAAAATATATTGTATTTTAATGACTTATTCATCTAAGTTAAAGTTTGATGGTTTTGGAAAGGTTTTGTGGCAATACATGCGCATCTGCAGTATTTCATCTCCAGGCTTAGTTTACATCAATTATCTTTTAGAGAATTTCTGATATTGGGAATTGTATCATTAAAAACAAGTCTAATACACCCACACATAAATTGAAAGAAAAGGACTACACAATATTGAATACTCAGTGAAGTAATACATTTGAGGTGTTTAGTGGTATAAGTCTCCTGTAAACAAATACTATATCAGTATGCGATTGTGTGAGTCTACTACAGTTTGAATTATTAGTTTTCTGTCTGAACAAGTGCTTCTAATATGCCCTGCGAGGGGGACAAAATACTGCAACAATTACTCTGACCTGCAGAGTGAATCTGATTGGTTGGGCATAAAACTGTATTCCCCCCCACCATGGGATACATTCAGGCAATCAACGACCAAGACTTTTGCACTTTACGGAGTCAAAATAATAACAAGCCAAAACAAAAAGGAACAAAAAAATGTATTTTTTTCTTTAAGTTCTAACTTCACAGTATTTAACAAACAAACAAACAAACAATATATTTGGATGTGGGCTATAGGTTAAGGGGAAAATGCTCCTGCATGTACGTATGAGAGAAAAGTTGAACTTTCAAAATAAAAGTCTGATATTGTATGTCAGCTAAATGCGGTAGTGAAGAAATAAGAATTTCCTTAACGTTTGATTTCAATTGAAATGCACCTCCCCCTGTCTAGTTTGGGATGTAAAAGGGCCACCAACATGCAAGGAATCAAGCATTCCATTACCCTGCATTCAAAACAGTCATTACAATCACCCTCAAAGATCATGCTTTTCACACAAAAAGCAAACTATAGACGATAACGAAAAAAACACAGTACATAAAAAAAAAATATACAGTGGGGAAAAAAAGTATTTAGTCAGCCACCAATTGTGCAAGTTCTCCCACTTAAAAAGATGAGGCCTGTAATTTTCATCATAGGTACACGTCAACTATGACAGACAAATTGAGATTTTTTTTCTCCAGAAAATCACATTGTAGGATTTTTAATGAATTTATTTGCAAATTATGGTGGAAAATAAGTATTTGGTCAATAACAAAAGTTTCTCAATACTTTGTTATATACCCTTTGTTGGCAATGACACAGGTCAAACGTTTTCTGTAAGTCTTCACAAGGTTTTCACACACTGTTGCTGGTATTTTGGCCCATTCCTCCATGCAGATCTCCTCTAGAGCAGTGATGTTTTGGGGCTGTCACTGGGCAACACGGACTTTCAACTCCCTCCAAAGATTTTCTATGGGGTTGAGATCTGGAGACTGGCTAGGCCACTCCAGGACCTTGAAATGCTTCTTACGAAGCCACTCCTTCGTTGCCCGGGCGGTGTGTTTGGGATCATTGTCATGCTGAAAGACCCAGCCACGTTTCATCTTCAATGCCCTTGCTGATGGAAGGAGGTTTTCACTCAAAATCTCACGATACATGGCCCCATTCATTCTTTCCTTTACACGGATCAGTCGTCCTGGTCCCTTTGCAGAAAAACAGCCCCAAAGCATGATGTTTCCACCCCCATGCTTCACAGTAGGTATGGTGTTCTTTGGATGCAACTCAGCATTCTTTGTCCTCCAAACACGACGAGTTGAGTTTTTACCAAAAAGTTATATTTTGGTTTCATCTGACATTCTCCCAATCCTCTTCTGGATCATCCAAATGCACTCTAGCAAACTTCAGACAGGCCTGGACATGTACTGGCTTAAGCAGGGGGACACGTCTGGCACTGCAGGATTTGAGTCCCTGGCGGCGTACTGTGTTACTGATGGTAGGCTTTGTTACTTTGGTCCCAGCTCTCTGCAGGTCATTCACTAGGTCCCCCTGTGTGGTTCTGGGATTTTTGCTCACCGTTCTTGTGATCATTTTGACCCCACAGGGTGAGATCTTGCGTGGAGCCCCAGATCGAGGGAGATTATCAGTGGTCTTGTATGTCTTCCATTTCCTAATAATTGCTCCCACAGTTGATTTCTTCAAACCAAGCTGCTTACCTATTGCAGATTCAGTCTTCCCAGCCTGGTGCAGGTCTACAATTTTGTTTCTGGTGTCCTTTGACAGCTCTTTGGTCTTGGCCATAGTGGAGTTTGGAGTGTGACTGTTTGAGGTTGTGGACAGGGGTCTTTTATACTGATAACAAGTTCAAACAGGTGCCATTAATACAGGTAACGAGTGGAGGACAGAGGAGCCTCTTAAAGAAGAAGTTACAGGTCTGTGAGAGCCAGAAATCTTGCTTGTTTGTAGGTGACCAAATACTTATTTTCCACCATAATTTGCTAATAAATTAATGAAAAATCCTACAATGTGATTTTCTGGATTTTTTTTTCTCAATTTGTCTGTCATAGTTGACGTGTACCTATGATGACAATTACAGGCCTCTCTCATATTTTTAAGTGGGTGAACTTGCACAATTGGTGGCTGACTAAATACTTTTTTCCCCCACTGTATTTGAAACGATTGCTTGCTGTTGAGTTTTGGATTGACAACCAACCAAGGTCACAGACAGACACACTATCAAGACAGGAGGACTTGTGTTACAGTCCTAATAATAATACTTCAGGAACAAAAAGGGTGAACACTTTCAGCTAAAGCCCTGTATGCCGTTTCCCTACCCCCTCCCTCCCTCCCTCCGTCTGACACTGTTAAACAATATAGTCTTACGTTTCACAATCGAGTCCAAGTACTGTTTTCACAAATGTGAGAAAGACAGAATTTGAGATTTGAAACAATATGGGGTCAGGTAAGCTGATATTATGGCAGCTAGTAAAACATCCATGCACACAGAAAACACGTCACTTCCACAGCACAGAACAGAGACAGCCTGAGAGAGTTTACCTCAGAGTTTTAACATGTAGCAGTGTTCAAGGTCTCTTTTCAGAATCAGAACCAAAACCCTGCTACAGTATATGGATTCAACTAGATGAGAATATCAAGATGGTTTCCAGACTTGTATGTTTATATATTGTATGTATGTAAACCCAGTTCATGCTAGACACTGACTGGAAAGCCTCTGGTAAACATAGGGGTGGACAAACTACATGGTAAAAGGACAAACTACATGGTTGTTTAAGAATCCTTATCACAAGGCTATGCAAGAAATACCACAACTATCCGATGATGCAACACACAGATCACTCTACTGATGTACACCCTCCCTACCCTCTTCCCACTTTGATGCAAGCGTTCTACTTTGTTTTCCCCCATTTTTAAGACAAGTCACTATCAACCACAACAAATACAAATCATATGCACTCTGTCTGTGACGTGTTTGAATGAATGGTTTATTCAACACAGCTTCTGACCTGCCATAAAAATACTGTTTATTACTCTATTACTTTAAAATATGCCACTACCAATTTTTCTTTCATTAACTCAACGCAATTACTTTGATTGATGACTACAAGAAAAGACAGGCTATTGTTATTCAAAGATATGCGAAGGCAGTGTCCCCCCCAAGAAATTGCTGGTTAGATTCTTCTTATAAATATGAATTTCCTTTACTCTATTACCCTCTGTAGCGGTTGCTTGGCTAGCAGCTGTCCTGGCAGTTGAGGACAGCTGCTATGTTGTTTTCTTCCAGACTTGTAATGTCATTTCCATGCAATTTTCTTATTTTATAACCACCCCCACATAAATTCTATGGTTGGTATAATTCCATCTAGTTCTACACTCCCTCACTCCCCCTACACTTATCTCTGAGTTGCACTTTCCGGTTGATACGTATAGATTTAAAAGCTCTTCTTAACTGAAAGCTGATCCTCAATCAGTACTACCCCCGCGGTAAGTATAAACCCATGATTTTACCACAACTAAACGACAGAAGCATTTATGAAGTTTTGCATTGGTTTTTTTCCTGTGTTTTGTTTCAAATGTCCACTCAGTAGCAGCGTCACTGGAGAGCTCGGATGAAAATAAAAAAAATAAAAGAGACAATGGCTACGCTGACGTCGTCTTTTCCTTTCTGATTGAGATGTTGAAATGATTAAATAAATGTTTCCTCCCTTGATTAAGTTGGCCCACCGGTTCCCCTGTGTCCCCCTCGCCTGTTGCTTGGGGGGCGTTGACTGCCTCTGCTGGCTAACACCTCCCTCCCACCCCGCCCGTCAAGAAGGTTGAGGAGGGTCCCGGTCCGCACCCCCCTCCCTCCCCAGCTGGCAGACCCTAACCCCAGAAAACGGTAACATGTTCCCTGGGTATAAGAGGTTCCCCGTCTGTCGTCTCCCATAGTGAATGACCTGGTAAGACAGAGCGAGGGAGACCAATGTTATTAAGTAAGCAAGATTAGGAATAAACTTGAGTTAATAATGCTCAAATAAGGTGGCTGAAAAACTGAGACACTAAAGTGCTTTAGATAGAATATCTCTGTTCTATAATTAGATTTGACCATGAATGTGCAACTTACCCCCTTGAACAGGCCTGTTCCTATGGAAAGCGTTACACCCCGTAGAAGGCTGCCAGCCGTTCCTTCAGAGGCAGTGGGAACTGGTCTGAGAAACGCCTCCAGTTCTCCTCGCCCACCTGGTTCTTGAACCCATGGAGGATCTGAAAATATCAAACACACTATTAGAACGTACGCACAAAGCTACGCATGCACACATTGTGGATCAGGATATTTGCTCCTTCTCCGCACACAGATAGTCTTGTAGACTCTAGGCCCTACATGGCACACAGTTATGCTCAGTTTTTACCTTGCCGAACATGTCTCGCAGATCATCCTTTGGATTTACCCATGAGGCCACTGCATCACAGAAAAATATAAAATCCTGGAGGAAATGAGAGTAAAGGTCTGGCTTGAGACAACAGTTTCCCTGCTAACATCACTCACTCATGGGACCATTTAACCAGTAATGCAGTTCCTGTTCTTTTCTTATTCCTCAACTGATGGGACCATGAGAAGATAAGTGCAGTTCCTATGTTAACCTCTAGAGGACAGCGTTGCCTGGGGCCTCACCTGTACCACTCCTCCGGGGTTGACACTGATCATAGTGCAGATGCCTCGGAAAGCCGAGTCTTTCTCCTCATTGTCTCTTATGTTCCTTAGAGAGGTGCACCTGCCAACAGGAACAGCCACGTTTTACACCAGGCCAGAGGGGCTGCCTTAAAGCACTGCATAGCATTACAATTCAATTCCCTTACAGCACTCTGAAGTTACCATTGACCGTATTCAATAATGTAATTGAACTTCCATAGGTATACAGTGGGGGAAAAAAGTATTTAGTCAGCCACCAATTGTGCATGTTCTCCCACTTAAAAAGATGAGAGAGGCCTGTAATTTTCATCACGTCAACTATGACAGACAAATTGAGACATTTTTTCTCCAGAAAATCACATTGTAGGATTTTTTATGAATTTATTTGCAAATTATGGTGGAAAATAAGTATTTGGTCACCTACAAACAAGTCACATACCTGTAACTTCTTCTTTAAGAGGCTCCTCTGTACTCCACTCACCTGTATTAATGGCACCTGTTTGAACTTGTTATCAGTATAAAAGACCCCTGTCCACAACCTCAAACAGTCACACTCCAAACTCCACTATGGCCAAGACCAAAGAGCTGTCAAATGACACCAGAAACAACATTGTAGACCTGCACCAGGCTGGGAAGACTGAATCTGCAATAGGTAAGCAGCTTGGTTTGAAGAAATCAACTGTGGGAGCAATTATTAGGAAATGGAAGACATACAAGACCACTGATAATCTCCCTCGATCTGGGGCTCCACGCAAGATCTCACCCCGTGGGGTCAAAATGATCACAAGAACGGTGAGCAAAAATCCCAGAACCACACGGGGGGACCTAGTGAATGACCTGCAGAGAGCTGGGACCAAAGTAACAAAGCCTACCATCATTAACACAGTACGCCGCCAGGGACTCTAATCCTGCAAATGCCCAGACGTGTCCCCCTGCTTAAGCCAGCACATGTCCAGGCCCGTCTGAAGTTTGCTAGAGTGCATTTGGATGATCCAGAAGAGGATTGGGAGAATGTCATATGGTCAGATGAAACCAAAATAGAACTTTTTGGTAAAAACTCAACTCGTCGTGTTTGGAGGACAAAGAATGCTGAGTTGCATCCAAAGAACACCATACCTACTGTGACGCATGGGGGTGGAAACATCATGCTTTGGGGCTGTTTTTCTGCAAAGGGACCAGGACGACTGATCCGTGTAAAGGAAAGAATGAATGGGGCCATGTATCGTGAGATTTTGAGTGAAAACCTCCTTCCATCAGCAAGGGCATTGAAGATGAAACGTGGCTGGGTCTTTCAGCATGACAATGATCCCAAACACACCGCCCGGGGAATGAAGGAGTGGCTTCGTAAGAAGCATTTCAAAGTCCTGGAGTGGCCTAGCCAGTCTCCAGATCTCAACCCCATAGAAAATCTTTGGAGGGAGTTGAAAGTCAGTGTTGCCCAGTGACAGCCCCAAAACATCACTGCTCTAGAGGAGATCTGCATGGAGGAATGGGCCAAAATACCAGCAACAGTGTGTGAAAACCTTGTGAAGACTTACAGAAAACGTTTGACCTGTGTCATTGCCAACAAAGGGTATATAACAAAGTATTGAGAAACTTTTGTTATTGACCAAATACTTATTTTCCACCATAATTAGCAAATAAATTCATTAAAAATCCTATAATGTGATTTTCTGGATTTTTTCCCCCTCATTTTGTCTGTCATAGTTGACGTGTACCTATGATGAAAATTACAGGCCTCTCATCTTTTTAAGTGGGAGAACTTGCACAATTGGTGGCTGACTAAATACTTTTTTCCCCCACTGTATCATATTACTATTACCTGCTAACACAATTCAAAATCATAAATTCCACTGTGGCTAATTAGAATAACTTCCAAAATATAAAAATACTACATCTATTGCCTCAAGAGGTTTGTTGATCATATGGCAACTAAAAAAAATTAATATAACCTATAGTATATTAAAAGACAACTTGCCATTTTTACTTCATACATGTGAATTCAATCTACAACCATTTATTTTAGACCTTTAGAAGATTTGATTTTATCTGAACGACTTTTACTAAAGACTACTTCGTAAGGTACAAAACATTATTGTGGGGAGAAAATGATTTCACTCAGATAATCTAAAACAGTATCAGACTGGTGCATGCACATCAAACAAACCTGTCCTTCTGAAACTTTGTGTTAAGGCACTTAACTATTCACTTACACGTAAGTCACTAAAACTGTTTTACCACTCTTAAAGTAACTTAACTTTGGCCCATATGGCATTCCAGTTAACCTTTAATATAGCACTTTATCAATGCCAAATCCTTTTAAAAGACTAACTTTGTTCTTAAAAGGAAGTTTTAAGGAATTCTGGGATAGGCACATGCAGCTGGATGACTAGTGGACTAGTGGACTAGTGGACGAGGGGGGGGGGGGGTTGGGGGTTCTCTGGGAATGCTTTGGGAATTTTAGGAAAGCCTTTTGTTTTCCCTTTCTCTTTCTGAACCAGCAGGCATGTGACAATCTAATCCCATGCACTAATTAGTAGTTAGCGACAATTAACAATGACAAACTGTAAAATAAATAAACCAATAATGTATAAAATACATAAAGGTAATACTGAAGAAAAATACATCACAGACAGAGGACCTAAAAGAGGACAGGATTAGTCACATGGTTGGCAATGATTACAGACTGATTCAGGAGAAACAGAAAATACTTATTTCAGAAAGAAAGAGGGAGGAAGAGAGAAAGACAGAGACAGGGGAGGAAAGAGAGAGACAGGACAGGAAGAGACAGACATGGAGAAAGAGAGGAAAGAGAAGAGGAATATGAATTAAATAAAATATTGAATAATACACACCAGGGTCTTATAAACTGCTGTAGCATGGGTGCCACCTCTTGAGGACAAACGTAACCAAGACGACCAATTGTTATTGCTAAGGTAACGCAATCACGGTTATACACCACCAAACGCCAACCAAGACATGAGCAATGAGGAGAAAAAATAAAGAAAAAACAAACTCAGAAACATAAAATCAACAGAATCCATGTATGATAATAAACAGAAGAATTCACTAGGTGTTGATTATTACTGCCCCGTTAACTACTGGGGAGGAATGTAGGATAGTATGACACTAAAAACAAACAACTCGTTTAAGGGAGAACACTTTGACAACACAATATCAATCAAACAGCAACATGCCTGCTCGGACATCAGAAATATGAATGTTGAAATGGCCTCTGTTCTCTTACGACAAACTCCTCCCTGCAAAATGTTAAATGACTGTTCTTCATCTAAATTTAAAAAGTGTAAAATGTGAAGTCATTAGTTAGCCAACTGCCAGTATGGAATGTTTACAAGGTTCTTATTCTTCTCAAAGTTGGCAGCTGGGAATTGAGCTTTCAGAGGTTTCTCCCTTAAACACACAAAAAGGTTAATCTTTCCATAAGAAACAGAAAAACTTTTCATTTTTTTGGTTTGTAAAGAAATGACCAACTACATGGGAGGAGACTAGTATCCAGTACAGCAGGTTCTTATGAAGAGGCAGAGAGGAGGAGGACCTAAGTTTAAGAGACACAAAACTATGCAACATTCTCATTAAGAAACAGGCATTTATGAACAGTCCAATGAGACATGCAGAAAGCAGATGATAGGCTCATTAGAAATAAAGTTCAGTGCAGGATAGGCTGATTGGCTGCAAATGAGGATGGAGGGGAGGGGTTATAGCTATACAGTGCCTTCAGAAAGTATTCATACCCCTTGACCTTTTTCACATTTCGTTGTGTTACAGCCTGAATTCAAAATGGATTAAATTGTTTGTTTATCTCACCGATCTACACACAATACCTCATAACGACAAAGTGAAAACATGTTTTTTGAAATGTTTGCAAATGTATTGAAAATGAAATACAGAAATATCTCATTTCCATAAATATTCACACCCCTGAGTCAATACTTCGTAGAAGCACCTTTGGAAGCGACTACAGCTGTGAGTCTTTCTGGGTAAGTCTCTAAGAGCTTTCCACACCTGGATTGTGCAACATTTGCCCATTATCCTTTTTTTAAAATGTTGTCAAGTTGGTTGTTGATCATTGCTAAACAAACTTTTGCAGGTCTTGCCATAGATTATTTAAGTCAAAACTGTAACTCGGCCACTCAGGGACATTCAGTCTTCTTGGTAAGCAACTCCAGTGTAGATCTGGCCTTGTGTTTTAGGTTCTTGTCCTGCTGAAAGGTGAATTCTCTCCCAGTGTCTAGTGGAAAGCAGACTGAATCAGATTTTCCTCTAGGATTTTGCCTGTGCTTAGCTCCATTCCATTTTTTTTTTTCTGAAAAACTCCCCAGTCCTTAACGATTACAAGCATACCCATAACATGATGCAGCAACAACTATGCTTGAAAATATGGAGAGTGGTATTAAGTAATGTGTTGTATTGGATTTGCACTTTGTATTCAGGACAAAAAGTTAATTGCTTTGCCACATTTTTAGCAGTATTACTTTAGCGCCTTGTTGCAAACAGGATGCATGTTTTGGAATATTTTTATTATTTTCACTGTCAATTAGGCTGGTATTGTGGAATAAATACAATGTTGTTGATCCAGTCTCCTATCACAGCCATTAAACTCTAACTGTTTTAAAGTCACTTTTGGCCTTCCTTCCTCTCCGGCAACTGATTTGGGAAGGACGCCTTCATCTTTGTAGTGACTTGGTTTATTGATACACCATCCAAAGTGTAATTAATAACTTCACCATGCTCAAACAAATATTCAATAAAAAAAATGATCTACTAGTATCTACTTTGCGAGGCACTGGAAAACCTCCTTGGTCTTTATGGTTGAATCTGTGTTTGAAATTCACTTCTCAACTGAGGGACCTTACAGATAATTGTATGTGTGGGGTACAGAGATGAGGTAGTCATTCAAAAATCATGTTAAACACTATTATTGCCCACAGAATAAGTCCATGCAACTTATTATGTGACTTGTTAAGCAAAAAACATAACTCTATGGGGTATTGCGTGTAGGCCAGTGACCAAAGAATCTTAATTTAATCAATTAAAAATTCAGGCTGTAACAACAAAATGTGGAAAAAGTCAAGGGGTGTGAATACTTTTTGAAGGCACTGTATATGGCCTCAAACCCCATCCACTTCAATAATGTTGATGTGCCTTTATACTGTATGCGTGTGTTTTAAAATTCTTTAAATGATCAAATTGGTGCGCTATAAAGATAATCAAAATGAATATATTTTCTGAATGTTTTGATAGGTTAGGTGAAAATTAAGATTAGGACAGTTCTTGTATAAAACAGCCCAATAGAAACCAAGAGGATTAGGTTTCGATTCATCATACTAAAATAGAATGGCAGTGGTCTGAGCTCAACAGCATATCGCTATGGCTCCATCAATCAATCACGTATCCCACATCAAACGTTTGCCATCCTTTAACTAAACATTCAACATATATTGGCAGATATGCATTCACATTTAAAAAACTAACTAAAAACAACAAATAAATAAACTGACAAACAGGAACAACATCTACAAATTCCCTAGTTTTCCTGGGGGGGTGGGGGTGTGTGGGGGGGGGTAAGTTAAGCAGGTTACACTTCACCCTCATTTTGGCTCAGTTTGGGTTCTAGTCGACGGCCATTTTGGATCACCCAAACACAGTCTCCAATTCGACTAGAGCTTCTAAATAAGAGCAGAGTGTAACCGAAGGTTTGTTTGATAAGTATAGGTGCTATAACATTTCTCTCAACACCACAAAAAATGTTTAGGATGGGATTAGCTCTTTCCTCAATCATCAAAGATGACTAGTTATTATCATCATCATCATCTTCTGAGTGTTCAGTAAACATTCCGTTTGTCAAATTAACCGTAAGAAAAACTCTTGAAGCATTTAGCTATACACTCCTCTGTCTCAGTTAAGGCCTCACTGTCACCTACTGATGCTCCTCAACACTTCAACTTCACTTCAAGGGAAATAAAGCTAGAAAAACCTGACAAACGGTGCAACAGAATCAATCCATTTCAGTTAATAATGCCAAGACTGTACACTTACAGGGTTCGCTGGGTTTTGACATTTCCCCAGATTCTTACTCCATGAGGAACAAATATTTTATCAGTCTCTTTTTCCTCTCCTTTATTTCCCTCTTTCCACCTCAGCTACATTTAATATATTTCAGCAGGGATCCAACAGCCCATAAACACAGCCATACATCATTGGGTCCAAATAGTTGGGATGTTTGGTTGAAACCGGCGAAACCTGTAAGGCCCAGAGCTTGGGGAGGCTTTCAGATGAAGATTAATGGCCTCCACTCCAGTCAGAGTGTGCATCCCAATAACCTCTCCTTCCTCCAGAAGTGTGCACTCGTTCACTACTCCCCAGACATTTAAAAGCATTGGATTGGTGTTGGCATGGGCTACAAGGAGTTTTCATATACCAGTCATTTCCTTTCAAATCCATTAAGGGAAGTGAACGAGTGCACACTTCGGGAGAAAGGAGATATCATTGGGACGCACCCAGAGTAGCCCTGACTGACTGTGCTATGTAACATCTCCCTGTGGCTGTGTGGATGGCAGGCTCAGCACAGCCCGCAGCGCCACCTTGTGGTGGTACCTGTGTTCTCCAGCAGGGTCTTTGGAGTGTTGGGCCTGTTGATGATCTCAACCAGCTGGTGCAGCACCATGGTCACGTAGGGCTGCATCTCAGCTCCTGGGGAGAGGGGAAGGGAGGTCAGAGAGGGAGGGTGTGTGTGCGCGCACATTCATGAGAATGTATCCAAGCTGGTGTGTGACCGCTTTGTGACAATTTCCAGACACTCACCCATTTGTATAGATATCTCTCCGATTGCCCATGTTGCATTGTTGCACACTGATATCAACTCTGGGTTCAGATTAGTGCCTAGTACAGGCATGAAATCAGCTGCACAGGAGAGAAAGAGAGATAGAAGCTTAAACCATCGGTAACTGATAATCTGACATTTAGACTACTATACACATCTTGTATATCAGGCGGTGTGTTACTGCCAGTCTGGTGTAAGAGAATAGAGTATCAGGCGGTGTGTTACTGCCAGTCTGGTGTAAGAGAATAGAGTATCAGGCGGTGTGTTACTGCCAGTCTGGTGTAAGAGAATAGAGTATCAGGCGGTGTGTTACTGCCAGTCTGGTGTAAGAGAATAGAGTATCAGGCGGTGTGTTACTGCCAGTCTGGTGTAAGAGAATAGAGTATCAGGCGGTGTGTTACTGCAAGTCTGGTGTAAAAGAATAGAGTATGTACCGATGCATGGCTTTACATGCTGGAAACAAGCCTTAGTCAGGTCACCCAGCAGAGCAAAGGAGCTCTGACGCACCTCCGGCATTTTGTCCTGAGAGAGATCGAGAGAGGGGGACAGAGAGCGAGAGAGGGAGAGCGGGACAGAGAGAGAGAGGGACAGAGAGCGGGACAGAGAGAGCGAGAGAGAGGAACAGAGAGCGCAAGAGAGGGACAGAGAGCGCAAGAGAGGGACAGAGAGCGCAAGAGAGGGGAACAGAGAGCGCAAGAGAGGGAGAGGGACAGAGAGCGAGAGAGAGAGAGGGACAGAGAGCGAGGGACAGAGCGAGGGACAGAGAGCGAGAGAGCGGGGGACAGAGCGAGGGACAGAGAGCGAGAGAGCGAGGGACAGAGAGCGAGGGACAGAGAGCGAGAGAGAGCGAGGGACAGAGAGCGAGAGAGTGAGCGAGGGAGAGAGAGCGAGGGACAGAGAGCGAGAGAGAGAGAGCGAGGGACAGAGAGCGAGCGAGGGACAGAGAGCGAGAGACAGAGAGCGAGAGGGACAGAGAGCGAGAGGGACAGAGAGCGAGAGGGACAGAGAGCGAGAGAGAGAGAGAGGGACAGAGATCGAGAGAGAGAGAGGGACAGAGATCGAGAGAGAGAGAGGGACAGAGAGCGAGAGCGAGAGGGACAGAGAGCGAGAGAGAGGGACAGAGAGAGCGAGAGGGACAGAGAGAGCGAGAGGGACAGAGAGAGCGAGAGGGACAGAGAGAGCGAGAGGGACAGAGAGAGCGAGAGGGACAGAGAGAGCGAGAGAGAGAGGGACAGAGAGAGCGAGAGAGAGAGAGAGTGGGACAGAGAGAGCGAGAGAGAGCGAGAGGGGGACAGAGAGAGCGAGAGAGAGAGAGAGAGAGAGGGGGACAGAGAGAGCGAGAGAGAGAGAGGGGGACAGAGAGCGAGAGAGAGGAACAGAAGGAGCGAGAGATTAGTCATGACTCACGGACCTGAGAGATGAACTATGTCAGGGTTGGTTGATCTGTAACACTGAGGTCATTGGTTGGTTGATCTGTAACACTACGAGGTCACTGGTTGGTTGATCTGTAACACTGCGAGATCACTGGTTGGTTACCTGCATGCACTGGTACATGAGCGTGAGGATGTTGCTACGGGCGACCAGCTGCTCGATGTTGCCGCCCAACCCCTCGGCCAATCCGCTGAGCAGGTCCAGAGCCACAATCATAAAGTCCTTATCAGGAGCCTCGTACTGGTCTGGCTGGGACTGGTGGAGCTGGATGGAGAGATGGAGGTAGTGTGAGAGAGTGGGAGATGGTGATGGAAAGAGGAAGGGAGAGAGAGTGTGTGGATTAGATTTGGGCAAGGAGTTATTTGAAACAATTAGATCCCACATTCCGCAAGCATGAAATCCAACCGCGAGCAGATAATCTCCAAATGTTCTCAAACACACACACACAATCTGTGCCAATAGCCTTCTCTATGGTGTGTTCAGTGCCAACTCACGCAGCCAATTGGCACAAACAAGATTATGTTTACAGGCAAGAAAGCAAGCAAAGCGCTAAACAAACTCTCCCTCACGTAACAGTGTACCCCCCTCCCTCACGTAACAGTGTCCCCCTCACACCCCCCCGTGTCCCTCACGCAACAAGGGATGTGTGTGTCTTACCATTGCCTGAGCGAGGGTCTTCTGCACCAGGTTGACACAGCGCTGGTACACAGGCTCACAGTAGGGCAGGAAACCACTCTGGAGCGCCGTGGCTACTGACGACAGGCACTGAGATGGATGGAAGGAGAGAAAGAGATTGGGGGATTCAGAGAAGAGGGAAAGGGGATGTGACAAGAGAGAGGATAAAAGAGGAAGAAAGAATATGATACTTGATAACCTCAGTTACAGGTAGTAACTTTTTATGTTTACGCATGTGTTTTTGGTGAAGAGTGGAAAACTCCCCTGGAGGCTAGTGTATTAGTGTGATTAGAGTACAGTGAGGCTCACCTCTAGTAAAGGGAACATTATTAGTGGACAGTGAGGCTCACCTCTAGTAAAGGGAACATTATTAGAGACCGGTGAGGCTCACCTCTAGTAAAGGGAACAGATCCTTGTCTTCGTCCTTCAGCTGGTTCCACTTTGCTATCAGTGGAGGCATCAGCATCTGAATGTACTCCTAAACACATGCAGTAGTGCACACGTTAGTCATCACAACCAAACACACCTGAAAAGGGAAACAAAATGCAGATGTGGCTTTGCTCGAGTCATTGCTGTGACATCATTGGGAGACAGAGAGCGTACGTAGTGTGTGTGTGTGTGTGTGTGTGTGTGTGTGTGTGTGTGTGTGTGTGTGTGTGTGTGTACCGGCTTGTTGAGGTGGTGTCCCACGGAGTCAGCGAGCGTCCCTATAGCGTCGTACAGTATGAGCAGGTTCTTGTGTTGGTACTTGTTGAAGGCAAACACCAGCGTGTCCAGGATGTAGGCCAAGTAGGGAACCAACTCTGTACACGCCTCTTCTTCCAGAGTGGCAAAGGCACTGAGGGGGGAAGGAGAGAGAGAGAGTAGAAAGAGAGAGAAGAGAGAGAAAGGAGAGAGAGAAAGAGGAGAGAAAGAGAGGGGAGAGAGGTAGGGGAGAGAGGTAGAGGGGAGAGAGGTAGAGGGGAGAGAGGTAGAGGGGCGAGATGAGGTAGGAGGGGAGAGAAGGTCGAGGGGGAGGAGACGGTAGAGGGGAGAAGGAGGAGGTAGCGGGGAGAAGAGGTAGAGGGGAGGGTAGAGGGGAGGAGGGAGGAAGGTAGAGGGGAGGAGAGGTGGGGAGATGGTCGAGGGGAGAGAGGTGAGGAAGGTAGAGGGGAGAGAGGTGAAGGGAAGGTAGAGGGGAGAGAGGTGAGGAAGGTAGAGGGGGAAGGTAGAGGGGAGAGGGTAGAGGGGAGAGTAGGTAGAGGGGGAGAGAGGTGAGGAAGGGGAGAGCGGTAGGAAGGAGGAGAGGGAGAGAGGAGGTAGGTAGAGGGGAGAGAGGTAGAGGGGAGGAGAGTGAGGGAGAGAGGTGAGGAGAGGGTAGAGGGAGGAGTAGAGGGAGAGAGGTAGGAGGAGAGGGGAGAGGGAGGGAGGAGGTAGAGGGGAGAGGAGGAGAGGGGAGAGAGGTGAGAGGGAGAGAGGTAGAGGAGGAGAGAGGGTGAGGAAGAGTAGAGGGAGAGAGGTAGGAGTAGAGGGGAAGGGTAAAGAGGAAGGAAGGTACGGGGGAGAGATAGAAGGAAGGGGATGAGAGAGAGAGAGGCTAAGGGAGAGTAGTAGGCATGGTAAAGAGTGAGGGATCAGAGAAGGGGCTGAGTGGAGAGGAGCGTTAGAGGGCAGGGGTAGGAAGGTAGAGTGTGAGAGGAGATAGGAGGGTAGAGGTAGAGGAAAGGTCATCAGTAGACACGCAAGGTGGGATAGCTGCAAAGGTATGTACAAGGAATGAGTTAGTAGGAAGAGGTCGGTAAAGGTAGTTTAGAACGCCACTTTGCAGTCAAGCTGTTCAACAGTTGTTGTTCAAAAAATGTTGATAGGATCAACTGATCGTCACAATGATCATCATCTTTACTTCCACACCCAAGGACCGTCGTCACTAGCTTTAGAACCCAGATTATTACTGGCCATCTATTCATCATTTACAAATAAAATCAGACATCTGGTCAAACATAACCACAGCTACCAACAGCTGACCCCAACTGAACCACAGCCGACCCCTCCCCCCACTCACCTGCAAGCGGCCTCCTGCACCCTCTTGTTGGAGTCCAGGATGCGTTTGAGCAGCTCGGTCATCAGGGGCTTCAGGTAGGTGTCAGGAGGCTGGCTGACCGCCCAGTGGGCATAGCGACTCAGGGTCCAGCAGGTGATGGAGCGCACCAGGGCCTTCTCATCACTCAGACACTGCACCAGGTGGGGGATGAGCTCTGGCAGGTAGGGGATCATACCCTGCATACAACCTGGGAAAATGACATGCGGTTAGAATATTAGGTTCTACTGGCTTTAAGATTAGTGGTGAATATGGTGAAGAGTGAGATATTCTTGTGTAGTCCTTCGTTCAGGTTGCATGGTAGAATACCCTTAAAGATAGAGTTAAGCAACTGCCTGACCACACAAGTGGATAAACAGGACTCACCCCTGTACATTCTCTTTCACCACCGTATAGGCTTTCCTTTCCAAACTCATCTTTACTCTTCCACTTCCTCCCCCTCCCAGTCTCTGCTAGTCCTTACCCTCAGCGATGGCCCCCAGGACCAGTATGCCAGACTCCTTGATGACCCACTCTGGGTGGAAGAGCAGCTCTTTGAGGAGAGGCAGGATGGGGAGGAGCAGATCATCTCTGAACACGTTAGCCAACACGTCCAACGCTGCTGCTGAACACTTACCTGGAGACAGTGAGAGGGGACACGTTAATAAACAGAGGTACACAGACATGCAAACAAAAAGGTCAACCATATTTATAAATGTGAGGTATGGCTGGAAGAGACAGAGAGACAGACACAGACAGACAGAAAGACAGAGGCCGAGACACAGACAGACAGAGACAGAGAGAGAGAGAGAGAGAGACAGAGAGAGACAGAGAGAAAAAACAAAGTAAGCGAGACAAAGCAAGAAATTAAGGAAGAGAAAAACAGATAATCAGAGGTCCACTCACGGAGGTTCCAGTCAGAGATGGTGTCATCATCGTCCAGGTCATCATCATCATCATCGTCCTCGTCCTCGATGCCATCACGGTCGCCCTCGTGTTGCTGGGCAACAGTACGGGAGCGGTGGAACCTGGGCCTGATGTCCTGCTCGTTGTCAGGGATTGCCTCATCATCATCCTCCTCCACATCACCCTGACCACACACACACACAGTTAAAGACACACTCGTAAGGGTACACACACACACACAAAAGGTATGCAATTCGAATTATTCATACTACTTTAAGACAATGAGCTTCCTTTAGGGCTGCAGCTAGGTAGCAGTCAGTTCACCTATCAGACTGTATCTTAACAGCAGACAGAGACACATACATATTTATGCATCTATAAATACGAATTCCATTGTAACCATAGCGACAGGCCAGTGATGGCGATACTCAAACCACCTCAGGACCTACACACACACCCAGGGTTGAGACACGGCCATGCACACACACACACAAAAATGTACTTGCCTGGCCTTCCAAAACCCTCCACCCTCCCTCTCCTGCTCCACCCCCCCTCCCTCTCCCCCTCCCAGGGTTGAGGTGTGATTTGTACAGTACATAATCACAGGCTCCAGTCCAGCAGCAGGCTAGCAGCCATAGATCCATTTCCTGGCTCACACTCAGAGCAGACTGACCTTGAGCAGAATGATGTCGATCTCGGAGTACTTCATCCCGTTGACGAGCACCGGAATCAGCCTGGAACAGACAGGGAACGAGGGACAGGGAACGAGGGACAGGGAACGAGGGACAGGGAACGAGGGACAGGGAACGAGGGACAGGGAACGAGGGACAGGGAACGAGGGACAGGGAACGAGGGACAGGGAACGAGGGACAGGGAACGAGGGACAGGGAACGAGGGACAGGGGAGAGGGACAGGGGAGAGGGAACATAGGGGGATGGGGGAAACAGGGGAGACGAGGCAGGGACAGGCCACATTAATATGTAAGCAGTGTCACAGATGAGCTCTAACAGCTATGGCTCTGATCAATGGCCAGGGTACCAGGATGAGGACAGTACACCCGGGGGTGAGGTCTAGAATAACTTAGCGTAGAGTGGGAGCAAATGTTGTAGCTAAGCTTTGACACAGAGGCTGGTGTTGTACTGTGTGTGTCACACAGTTGCTCCCCAGTGGCACAGTGGTCTAAGGCACTGCATCTCAGTGCTAGAGCCGTCACTACAGACCCTGGTTCGATTCCAGGCTGTACCACAATCCGGCCGTGATTGGGAGTCCCATAGGGCAGCGCACAATTGGCCCAGCGTCGTCCAGGTTTGGCCGGGGTAGGCAGTCATTGTAAATAAGAATTTGTTCTTAACTGACTTGCCTAGTGAAATAAAAGGTGAAATAAAATAAAAAAGCTTTTGTGCTGCTATGACCAGCTTTTCTTTCCTACATCCATCTCTGACATTCTTGTAACATTGTCTTTCAGTTACTTTGTGTGTGTATTACTCACTTGGAGAGGTGGTTACACAGCACGTCCTTACAGACAGGCTGTTCAGCCAGTGTCAGCCAGAACTCACAGGCCTCCAGAGCCACGTTCTCATCCTGGTCCTGAGTCCTCTGCAGCATGTACTGAGGAGGAGAGGACCATGGGAAAATTAGTACTATTAGCATTATATTTGTAGTTCACTACCTCAATCAATATTCAGGATTCATTTCAAGGCCAGGAGCTGGGCAGCCACAATCACATGACAGATTATGGATGAACCTGTCTGGCGAATAAAGGTTTTGGATGAACCTGTCTGGAGAATAAAGGTTTTGGATGAACCTGTCTGGAGAATAAAGCTTTTGGATGAACCTGTCTGGAGAATAAAGGTTTTGGATGAACCTGTCTGGAGAATAAAGGTTTTGGATGAACCTGTCTGGAGAATAAAGGTTTTGGATGAACCTGTCTGGAGAATAAAGCTTTTGGATGAACCTGTCTGGAGAATAAAGCTTTTGGATGAACCTGTCTGGAGAATAAAGGTTTTGGATGAACCTGTCTGGAGAATAAAGGTTTTGGATGAACCTGTCTGGAGAATAAAGGTTTTGGATGAACCTGTCTGGAGAATAAAGGTTTTGGATGAACCTGTCTGGAGAATAAAGCTTTTGGATGAACCTGTCTGGAGAATAAAGCTTTTGGATGAACCTGTCTGGAGAATAAAGGTTTTGGCCACAAGGTGGCATCTTGAGCTGATTTGATGAGACCAAGAGGAATCCATTTCACTGGTTCGTTTTCCTCCCTCCTTTACTCTCCGCTCCGCCTCCGCTCCGCCTCCCGCTCCCTCTCCGCCTCCCGCTCCCTCTCCGCCTCCCTCTCCGCCTCCCGCTCCCTCTCCGCCTCCCGCTCCCTCTCCGCCTCCGCCTCCCGCTCCCGCTCCGCCTCCCGCTCCGCCTCCCGCTCCCGCTCCGCCTCCCGCTCTGCCTTCCCCTCTGCCTTCCCCGCTCCCTACATCTAAATGTAATTCACTCCCCCTACACCTCCCTCCCTGCAGCTTAAACCGGGTGTACACTACACCATTTTTTGTTTAAGATCGTAGACAAAATACCCATGTCGTTGCTGTCACTGACGCTTGTTTAATGTGAGCGGGTCAGAGACGCAATCTAAGGGCTACCGATCCAGTCTTAGAGCAGTCACAGACGTCCCGATATTTTCAAGCATGTTTGATTTGATCAGCGCAAAATCTGCAATGCTCTTGTATTGTGAGCTGTGCAATGACAAGTTTTGAGAACGTGATCTGCAATGGCCAATGAGAGCTGGCCAGAGAAGAAGCCAGTGAGATGATGACGTTGTATCACATCAGCCAGAACGTGTAGACTCTGGAGCAGGAGCCATGACTACTATTAGTATGCGTTTGCCTTTAACCCGTGTAAATTCTAAATGTTGGCTAGATATTTCAACTCTGTATGACAAGCGTGAATGTCTAACTGAAAATGTTTATGAGGCTGCTTTGAGCCACAGCTCATTGTAGCTACGTTACATGTAATCACATTATCACATCATTGTTTTGGCGAGACAGCGTGGTATGGAAACGACCAAGTGAAGAATCTTGTAGTGTGAATCCAGTCTGTGCCATATCGTTAGCGTGCGCAACACTACTTTGGCAAGACAAAAAAACGACAGGAAAGACAGTTGTTTAATGTGAGAGGCTCAGCTATATTAGGATTTTTTAAGTCATGTAGTATACACCAGGTATTACCGAATCCAAACCCCAGTCCTAGCCCCAGCACCCCAGTCTCACCTCTATGATGTTCTGCATGTGTGGTAGGACACAGTCCATGTCCTAGCCCCAGTACCCCAGTCCCAGTCTCACCTCTACGATGTTCTGCATGTGTGGTAGGACACAGTCCATGTCCTAGCCCCAGTACCCCAGTCCCAGTCTCACCTCTACGATGTTCTGCATGTGTGGTAGGACACAGTCCATGTCCTAGCCCCAGTACCCCAGTCCCAGTCTCACCTCTACGATGTTCTGCATGTGTGGTAGGACACAATCCATGTCCTAGCCCCAGTACCCCAGTCCCAGTCTCACCTCTACGATGTTCTGCATGTGTGGTAGGACACAGTCCATGTCCTAGCCCCAGTACCCCAGTCCCAGTCTCACCTCTATGAGGTTGTGCATGTGTGGTAGGAGACGGTCCATGCGGACCTCCAGCAGCATGACCAGAGCTCTGCAAACGTTCTTCCTCACCTCCGGCTCCTCATCAGTCGCCAGGGCAAACAGGTTCTAAAGGGAGGGAGGAGGGTCAACCATCACACATGCACACATACTAGTCCCTACCTTCATTCCTTGGAGATGCATCCTGTGTTTTTTGACATTGCATTACTAATGAAGGAAAGGAGACAGGCTTTTTTGTAAGTAATTGAGATAGAGCCTGTCTTCATGAGTTCTGACCAGGACCCGTAACCATAGAGCCTCTCAGAATAGAACATTGGTGGTAAGTGCTGAGAATAGACATTTTCATCCTACTCAAGGGTAAAAATAAAAGCTATGCATGAAGCCTCTAGTGATAAGTCACACCTAGTCAACAGATATTTAGGACACCTCATGAGCTGTCCTATCCAGTTAAGAGTTACCAGCAGGTGTCTTGATAAGAGAAAAATGCAGTGAGTCAGTGGTTCCTGTGCCACATGCAATTGCTTTGGAGTTGTTAAAATTATGTTTTGATATTTCTATATAATAAACCCGTAAATAATCAAGACCTACATACAACAGTATCGCTTGTGCCTTTGACAATGATTTCATATATATATATATTTATTTTTTATTTTATTTAACTAGGCAAGTCAGTTAAGAACAAATTCTTATTTACAATGACAGCCTACACCGGCCAAACCCGGACGACGCTGGGCCAATTGTGCGCTGCCCTATGGGACTCCCAATCACGGCCGGTTGTGAAACAGGCCTATTTCACATTATATGCCTAAATACTTAATCCACTAGGCTAATAAATAAACATGTTTTTCTTTTAATTATTTAATTATCTATACTGAACAAAAATATAAACGCAACATGTAAAGTGTTGGTCCCATGTTTCATGAGCTGAAATAAAAGATCCCAGAAATTGCACATAAAGCTTATTTCTCTGAAATGTTGTGCACAAATTTGTTTACATCCCTGTTAGTGAGCATTTCTCCTTTGCCAAGATAATCCATCCATCTTCCAGGTGTGGCATATCAAAAAGCTTATTAAACAGCATGATCATTATACAGGTGCAACTTGTGCTGGGGACGCTGTTTATTATCTATGCATAGTCACTTTACCCCTACCTACAAATTACCTCTACTAACCTGTACCCGCGCACATAGACTCGGTACCGGTACCCCCTGTATATAGCCTCGTTATTGTTATTTTATTGTGTTACTTTTTATTAAATTTTGTACTTTAGTTTATTAAGTAAATATTTTCTTAACTCTATTTCTTGAACTGCATTGTTGGTTAAGGGCTTGTAAGTAAGCATTTCACGGTAAGGTCTACACCGGTTGTATTCGACGCATGTGACAAATAAAAATTTATTTGACATTAAAAGGCCTCTAAAATGTGCAGTTTTGTCACACAACACAATGCCACAGATGTCAAGTTTTGAGGGAGCGTGCAATTGGCAAGCTGACGGCAGGAATGTCCACCAGAGCTGTTGCCAGAGAATTTAATGTTCATTTTTCTACCATAAGCAGCCTCGAATGTCGTTTTAGAGGATTTGGCAGTACGTCCAACCTGCCTCACAACCGCAGACCACGTGTAACCACGCCAGCCCAGGACCTCCACATCCGACTTCTTCACCTGCGGGATCGTCTGAGACCAGCCACCTGGACAGCTGATGAAACTGAGGAGTATTTCTGTCTGTAATAAAGCCCTTTCGTGGGGAAAAATTAATTGACTGGCTGGGCCTGGCTCCCCAGTTGGTGGCCCTATGCCCGCCCCACCCATGACTGTGCCCCTGCCCATTCATGTGAAATCCATAGATTAGGAACCAATTAATTAATTTCAATTGACTGATTTCCTTATACAAACTGTAACTCAGTAAAATTGTTGGAATTGTTGCATGTTGCATTTATATTTTTGTTCAGTATATATATTATGTTATTTAAAGTTAACCCTTTGGAGCGCAATACCACGTTGTTAAAAAAATATGCTTAAATTGGGCATGCCTATAAGTTGGGCAATTGAAGGCATCTAGGGCTTATGTTAACTTTGACTGTGTTAGATGAAAATGATACACCTTTCAAATGTTGCATGCAACATTATCGGCAAGTGACTTGAGGCCTATTGCGCCAAAGCCATTTAGAGCTGTTAAACAGGAGTGACAAGCGTGTTGATATGACAGTAATATTGTCAAAATATTCTGCTTTTAATAACCATCAGAATTTGTTAAAAAAGTTTATGCATGCCAACATGACAATAATTAGGTGAAGTCAAAACAGGTTTTCTAGGACCTTTTCTGAGATGCTTTGTAGATCATAAAACCAGTGGGGAAGGCCTAAGGATTTATACATTAATTGTAAAACAAAACAAATAATTGTTACGATCTTCTGATTTAATCTCTTCAATGTGTTAAAAAGAGAAGAGTTAATACTGAAGAGAAAAAAAATATCCACTCAGGATTTTTCTTCGGTGGTCTCTGGGTAGAAAAATCTAGCTAGCTTAGCCAACCATTGTCTCTAGGCCATCAGAACCTGGACAGAAAGCCTCTGCCATTCAACTGTTTTACAGCAGAATTTTGGAGTGACAGTGGAATGAACCAATCACATTTTGACTTGCAATGGGTGGGACCTAGCAGGGGTGTGCCGACATGGCCATACTCGTATCCGTAAATTGACAGTTGAGTTATTTACACCACGTAAGCACCTCACTTTTCTGACTGAAAGACGTGTGCTGGCACATGAAAATATATATTTTTTCCAATCACGGATAATTACAAAAAATACTGAGATCATAATTGCCCATATCCGTTACGATACTTGTTTTGTCCGACTACTTGGCATACCTCTAGTGTCTAGGCCTTCTCAAAGGCCTAGACACGTCACTACTGAGAGCGCAAGAGCAAATAATCAGTGGTGCAAGCCTCGATCAGACCGACAGCATCATTGCATCAATGACGCATCAATTCTGAAGTCAAACTTTTTCCATTATGTAATCCAACATTGTTACTGGATGTGTGCAACAGAACTTCAACATTTACGTTTTGCTACCATTTCTGTCAATCTATGCATACAATTAGATGCATACGTTGGATAAATCCACTGCAACTGCCTCTGCAACACAATGCTGCACAGCGTTCCATTGGAATTGAATGTACCTCTGGTGTCCCAAAATGCAATGACACTGTCGGTCTGATCGAGGCGTAAAGCTAGTAACGTTAGCTAGCTTGTGTTGTATGTAGTACTGTGACAAAGGTGACGGCGGCTGGAGCAACTTCAAGGTGGATGTTGTTGTAATTTGTTAGCGTCACCCTTTTCAAGATTAACTTTCAAACGTCTTTCAAACTTTACAAATGATCATCACGGTGAGTGGCACTGTTTTTTGTTGCAACTCGCTTGCTGTTAGCTAGCTCTTTGAAAAATAATGACTGAAACATTGCTGCATTTTAAAACCTTAGATCACCCGTTAGTGTGATGAATGTGATAAAATATATTTGTAATGAGAAGTAATAGCTGGTTTGTTAATATAGGACATGAAATGGTGGTGCTTTTGTATTGTTCTGATTTCATGGTGCCTACTGGAATGAATGGGCAGCTTATTCTTTAACATTATTTTATGCTGTGTGTGACTGCTGTCGCCTGTGTATGAGCCATGTCTGTGTGTTTGACCAAAACGGTCTCTCCTTCAGTGCACAGGTATTACGGTCGCTGTCCTTTCAACACCACAAGCCTGTCACCTTTGATGTGACACTGTTGTTGTCGCTATTGGTCAAAGTGTAATAGTGGTGTTGGCTACCATAGGTTGTGCAGATAGTGTTTTTTGTTTTGCTGGTCGCGTTATTTTATGCTCTGTGTCACATGTGGTGTCCGTGCCGGTTCAGTCTCTGTGTGTGCCGCAGCCCAAAGCGCGTGCGACCAGGCCTGTTTGTTTAATTAATAATGTCCTCAAAAAGCATTGCTTATCCTTCACTAGAACAGTCCGACTACAGAAGATATAATGTTGGGCACATTAAGTGATGCTATGTTTTCTGTTATTGTCTTCATTTTTGAGTTTGATACAACGTATTGGAAGATTTGTGGTGCCTCTGCATAAAGCGTCTCAAGAGTAAGAGTTCTGATCTAGGATCAGTTTGGCCTTTCAGATCACTTTCTGTACCAATTAGACTACTAAGCCTCTGGTCATCTACTGACCTAATGAGTTCTACTGAGCTTCTATTGAGCAACTCAGAGCCTGCTACAACTCTGGCCTTCTGCCCGTTATCACAAAGAACTCACCAGTGAAAATAGTTTATTTCTGCAGGGCGTTTTTAAAGCTAACACTTTATTTAGAATATGCAAATTGGATTTCATGTGACCTGTGCCTCTTCCACGCAGAGTGCCCCCTCTCTCACCCCCGCAGCTAAAGACATGAGAGGGACATTAAACAGTAGCCCTTTATCTCCTATCCGCTTGCTGTATTGTCATCGTCACTGTGTGGTTACTGGATGCAGCCGTCCTGATCCAGGGACCAGCTGGCTGGAAGTTAAGCTCATCAGTGGTTAACGTGACCTAGCCCTGATCCAAATCGGTGGAATTGGGGTTGGTGTAATAAACTGCAGCTCGGGTCTATCTCTTGGTAGTGCAGTGTTGTGCTGCGTAGAGGCTCAGCTCTGACCTACTGACACACTGTACTGAGAGCTGAGGCCATATACCTGCCTGCCTGCACTGACAGCGGAGGCTAGTTGGGTGGGCTGTGTGTGTGTGTGTGTGTGTATGACTTGATTGCAGGAGGCTCATGGCATGTGTCTGACTTTGTGGGCATATCAGATAGTCACAGGGCTGTCTGGGGATTATGGGAGGTCAGAGTATATAGGTCTGACTGCAGAGGTCACGGCGGGGTCAGACTTGCCTCGATGAAGTCGTCGATGTGCAGCATTAGGGCCTGGGTCCTACTGATGATGAACTGGTTGACGCAGGCGATGGCATGAGACCTGCAACACCACAAGACAGACTCCTTAGAGCCTCAACCTCACACCACCCAAACTCATGTGTTCCCCCTTATCAATGCTGCCTCTGTTCCTCCCCCCAGTCTCCAATCTGGGATCTCAGACACTGATAACGCCTAAGGATGGATATAGAGACAGAGGCAGTTTCATCTATAAGCCTGAGGAAAGAGGGATCTGAGAGAACACTTTGGATCAAAGTGCCTGTAAATATAGCTAGATCTGAAAACAACACCTGGCTATGGGTTGTTTTGGAACCAATTAAAAGGAGGCGCAAGGTGTTGCCTCTTTCGCTCACTCCAGGTGGAGCCAAGGCTGTGAGCAGGGAGAGTGAGGGAGGCCCAGTACACTCATACTCTAGGTACTTTTGCTTACCACTGTGCTTCTGCTTGCTATTTGGGGTCTAGGCCGAGTTACTGTAAGGCACTTTGTGACAAATGCTGATGTAAACAAAATACTTTATAAATACATTTGGTTTGATTTGAGTACCTTATCTTGGGGCTGCTGTGCTTGAAGAACTGCAGGAACTTTGGGATCATAACGTTGAGCGGACGGTCCAACACGTCACTGTCCAAGATCTCTGCTGAGTCCTCACAGATCTTCTGAAGAGCTCCAAACGCCCCCTGAGAGAGAGAGGGGGGAGAGAGACGGAGATGGGGGGGGGGGGGGGGTTTACCAAATATGTTTCAGGGCCAGATAGTCGTCGTCGCCCCCCCCCCCCCAGTTGTTTTAATATATATTTATCAGCCAGCCTCAAGGACAGGAGACCATATGGACAGTAAAGATGTCATACTCCATCAACACTGAGCCAACCCATAAAAACAACAGGTATGAGAAGCCTTCATCACCACATACTGTATCTAACACAGCACAAGGAGAAACACAACCTGGCCAGGCTGACCACTTAGGAAATGAACAGCAGGATAAAATTGTGGATTTGATAGTGAAACATAAAACAGCTACAGTACAGGCCTATTCATGTGAGAGGCTGTCAGTGTGTGATGGAATTCTATACGACTACATTAAAGAAAGCGTCCTCCATAAAAGTCATTAGGGGTTCCGTAATACAGTGTGACATGCACACACACAAACACACAAAGCAAGTGTCTTCAAAGCTGAGAGGATAGAAGTATCATGTGTGTCACATATGATCATGTGTCTCATCAAGAGAACTGAAATCTAGTCCACTCTACAGGAGTGTCTGATCTTCCACTTGTAAGGTATGTATTATCACCACCCGACAAGGACTTTGCACCCACAACCAGCAAACATCACAGCTATGAATTATATACAGAAATACTCACAAGCCCCTTGAAAAGCTCAATTTTCTAAACCTAAAGAGGACTTGACGTTGTAAGCCTGCATCATGTTCGAACCCAGCTGATTATGTGCAGTTAATATGTCTATATGGGTAAATGACGATGCAGCCTTGGAATGTATCTTCCCAGGGAAATACAGATTCTGAGTTGATGGCAGTAGCTGACACACATTCAATATGCCGCCACACGTACATCACACACAAACACACTCAAACTCGGAAAGGAATCTGATCGTATGCAAAGAGTGTGGCGACGGTGGTGCTGTCTGAAGGCCATTTCCAGGGCGGGCGCTGTTTCCTTCCAACCAGACAGCTTAGAGACCGAGAAGAAGGTGTGCTTAAAGAAAATACAAGGTTTCTGTCAGTATGAGAGAGCCGGTTGAGGCTTTCCTCTTTTGTTCTCTATTGCTTCTCCATTGTTCCTCAAGCAAGGAGGGAGGCCGACGACATCACAATCCCCATCAGACCTAAATATTTTTTAACCCTTTCGTGTGTGTACTTTACTGTATTTATACTTGGGATATTGCTTTTTAACAGTAAAATTATTATTGATTTATTATCGCTGGAGGACAAATTTAAATATATAGACTGGTGACTGGGACAGGAGTGTTTGTGTGTGAGTGAGTAGTCAAGGCACTGAATACCAATGAAGCTGGACAGTCCCTGTAAGAGCCTTGCTGTCGAAATGGGAGGTGCAAGAATGACAACTATGCAAAAGAATGCATGTCTGCTGAGAGGAGAGAAAAGGGGGTTAAATAAACAATTCCTTTTAATCTTCCTCTTCCATCCTTACTCTGTTTGAACACTATGTTCAGACACGTCACTGTAGGAGTTTACAGCAGTGTCTGAATGAGCAAGCATCAGCCAGAGCTGGACCCGGTCGGTAGACACACGCACAAGCACCTTCCAACTGCCCGGTCACCACTGTAAAAACTGCTCTCCAGCAAAACCTAAATAAAGCCATCAACCAACATTCTATAAGCGTTAGGCGACATCACACACACCTGCTCTGGTCTTTTTATAGAGCGAGGGGTGCAGAGGGAAAGAGAGAGGAGAGAAGGGGGGGGGGAGAAAGGGGTTACTGAAGAGAGAGAGCGAGAGAACAGTACAGAAACTCACACACAGTTAACTGCCAGAATAATGGAAACACTTGAGAAATTGAGGGTTATAAAAGTATTTTGAAAGCCGTTGTGGTTCCTGAGTTAATTAAGCAATAAACATCTTATCATGCATTAAAATTCTGGGCAGGCCATTATTTTGGCTACCATGGCTATGCCCCCATAGGACGACAATGCCCCCATCAACAGGATATGAGTGGCCACTGAATGGTTTTATGAGCATGAAAATGATGTAAACCATATACCATGGCCGTCTCAGTCACCAGATCTCAACCCAATTGAACATTTTTGGGAGATTCTGGAGCAGCGCCTGAGACGGCGTTTTCCACCACCATCACCAAAACATGGAATTTCTCATGGAAGAATGTTGTCGCATTCCTCCAATAGAGTTCCAGACACTTGTAGAATCTATGCCAATGTGCATTCTGGCTTGTGGTGGCCCAACGCCCTATTAAAGACACTTTATGTTGGCGTTTCCTTTATTTTGTCAGTTACCTGTACAACCACACACAGGCACACCGCAATAGCCACAAGCACACAGCGAGTCACATGCAGAGACATACACACACACACAACTGTACCAATCAGCTAGAGGTAAAAAGTCCAACGGCTGTCTGCAACATGATCCGACTCAAATATGCTCTGAATCACTCAAATCAATTACTAACATTTGTGTTAATATTCTACATGAATACTATTCATAAAGAATGCAACTGCTCTTTCAGCAAGTTAAAAAGCAGAACTCCTTCCAACTCCAACGCAGAGAATAACTGAGCTAAATCTCTGCTTGTGAACCAGCTCTGTAATAGAGGAACACACTATGTGGCAATACTGAGAACCATTGCCCTGGCTGTCCTTTTGGATGTCTGCCAGGCCCAGGCGTACAAGTAAACTGTACCTCCCTTTGGTTTTACTTGGATTCCCTTTGATTTTTCAAGATTGTAGGCCATTGAAGATAGCAGGGGGACGTATTTAAGTGTTACACCATAAGTGGTCCATGCTTCCACGGTATGATTGTAGGATACATGTAAGAGTAAATGATCAATGGCATGCAGCTTGTGTCGCTCTATTCGAGATATTGACACACTCACACCAGCTCCGGTTCAAAGAGATGGTAAAGGAAGTGGAGAGACTCATCTGTCATTGAGTCATGATTAGGTCATTCTAAAGTACAAAGGTAGTTTGTTCTGTGTGTCAGATCAACACTACACACACACACAAGTGAGTAACAAGGAAATGAGAGGATACCGTACGTCTAGGCTTTACTGTATGTGAATGCATGTAGGTGTGTGAGCTCCCCTACAGTGGGGAAAAAAAGTATTTAGTCAGCCACCAATTGTGCAAGTTCTCCCACTTAAAAAGATGAGAGAGGCCTGTAATTTTCGTACACGTCAACTATGACAGACAAAATGAGAAAAAAAAATCCAGAAAATCACATTGTAGGATTTTTAATGAATTTATTTGCAAATTATGGTGGAAAATAAGTATTTGGTCAATAACAAAAGTTTCTCAATACTTTGTTATATACCCTTTGTTGGCAATGACACAGGTCAAACGTTTTCTGTAAGTCTTCACAAGGTTTTCACACACTGTTGCTGGTATTTTGGCCCATTCCTCCATGCAGATCTCCTCTAGAGCAGTGATGTTTTGGGGCTGTCGCTGGGCAACACGGACTTTCAACTCCCTCCAAAGATTTTCTATGGGGTTGAGATCTGGAGACTGGCTAGGCCACTCCAGGACCTTGAAATGCTTCTTACGAAGCCACTCCTTCGTTGCCCGGGCGGTGTGTTTGGGATCATTGTCATGCTGAAAGACCCAGCCACATTTCATCTTCAATGCCCTTGCTGATGGAAGGAGGTTTTCACTCAAAATCTCACGATACATGGCCCCATTCATTCTTTCCTTAACACGGATCAGTCGTCCTGGTCCCTTTGCAGAAAAACAGCCCCAAAGCATGATGTTTCCACCCCCATGCTTCACAGTAGGTATGGTGTTCTTTGGATGCAACTCAGCATTCTTTGTCCTCCAAACACGACGAGTTGAGTTTTTACCAAAAAGTCCTATTTTGGTTTCATCTGACCAAATGACATTCTCCCAATCCTCTTCTGGATCATCCAAATGCACTCTAGCAAACTTCAGACGGACCTGGACATGTACTGGCTTAAGCAGGGGGACACGTCTGGCACTGCAGGATTTGAGTCCCAGGCGGCGTAGTGTGTTACTGATGGTAGGCTTTGTTACTTTGGTCCCAGCTCTCTGCAGGTCATTCACTAGGTCCCCCCGTGTGGTTCTGGGATTTTTGCTCACTGTTCTTGTGATCATTTTGACCCCACGGGGTGAGATCTTGCGTGGAGCCCCAGATCGAAGGAGATTATCAGTGGTCTTGTATGTCTTCCATTTCCTAATAATTGCTCCCACAGTTGATTTCTTCAAACCAAGCTACTTACCTATTGCAGATTCAGTCTTCCCAGCCTGGTGCAGGTCTACAATTTTGTTTCTGGTGTCCTTTGACAGCTCTTTGGTCTTGGCCATAGTGGAGTTTGGAGTGTGACTGTTTGAGGTTGTGGACAGGTGTCTTTTATACTGATAACAAGTTCAAACAGGTGCCATTAATACAGGTAACGAGTGGAGGACAGAGGAGCCTCTTAAAGAAGAAGTTACAGGTCTGTGAGAGCCAGAAATCTTGCTTGTTTGTAGGTGACCAAACACTTATTTTCCACCATAATTTGCAAATAAATTCATAAAAAATCCTACAATATAATTTTCTGGATTTTTTTTCCTCAATTTGTCTGTCATAGTTGACGTGTACCTATGATGAAAATTACAGGCCTCTCTCATCTTTTTAAGTGGGAGAACTTGCACAATTGGTGACTGACTAAATACTTTTTTCCCCCACTGTATGTGTTTCCTTCAGAACACAGTGATTCCAAGCCACACATCTGTATACACTAGACAACGGAGACGGTACCCTATGATTAAAAAAGTTACCCATTTCATCTAACATATTCAGGGAATACATTATTTATTTTTTCATGTGCAACCTGTCAAAATAGGATTCAGAATTATCAGATTTCTATTTGGCTATTCAGAGAATTTGCCAACATCTTTGTGCATATTGGCCTGCCCTATAGGCCATTATTCACCACCTGAGGAAGTGGGAACTCAAAACACTTTTTCGATACTAGAA